GACCAGTAAGACCCCCCGGTACACTCCCCGTGACCAGTAAGACCCCCCGGTAAACTCCCCCGATTGATTGATTGATCGTTACGTGTACCAAAATACAGTGAAAAGCTTTGTTTATGAACAGTACAGGCAGGTCACAGCAAGCAAAGGACATACAGATCAAAAGCAGTTAGAGGCTTACAGGCTGCATTGCACAGGGTGTGCACTAGGCAGGATCAACGTTAGCAAGATATACCTGATCCTAGGGCTTCTCCAGAGTTAGGGACATTACCACCCCACCCCGAGCCTCTGAGCTCTTGTTTAATGACGGATAGGAGGTTGTAAGGGATAGGGAATATGACCAGGCTGTGGCATCCTGTTGGGAAGTTTGGAAAATGATCTGGAAGTGGGGAGTGTCTGACTGTGTGCTGTCACTCTGGGTGAGATTCACTTCCACCCTGTACTGCTAACTATTTAACCAGGGAAGGCGGCACCGGGGCCATAGCTAAACCCAGTGGGAAGGTGCCCTGCAGAACCCCGTGGCTGATTTCCAGGGCAGGTGAAGGGAAACTTATTCCAATTGAATCCAGCAACACCCCCGCTGGACAAAATCAGCGCCTGGATATGGGGCAGGGATGCATGTGGATGTGATGAACCTTGTGGCTAAATAGCCTCCTGCCCAGATTAAAGCGCGCGGCAAGATCCTAAAAAGCTGAAGCAACGTGCAGTAAAGGAGGTCGGAAAGTGAAATGGGCCGGACCTGACAACGTACAGACTGCCTTCGACGTTGCGCAGGTCCGCAAGGTGAAGCTTCACACTTGCATGTGGGTTAACATTCCCCTTCGCCTTTCATGGGGTAATGCTCCCGGTCCCATTGAAGTGGTGTCTGTGCAGGAGAGGTCAATATTCCCCTTCAGGCAGAGTCCTGGATATCTTGAATTTTTACAGCATGTCAACAACCCTCCAAACAACTCATTATCGAATTTATTTAGAGCTCACTGAACATTCTCTTCAAAATATTCCATTAACCATAATTCTGAACACAAAGAGGTCACTAACTGCAGTGGGGTGCAGTGTACTCGCCATGTGGAGTGGGCTGATGGGTTGGACAGTAAGTGGATCCAGGAGTGTCTGTGTATCTCAGCCTGGCCTGAACATCACCCACTCACTGTGTTTACATCCTAGCCAGCCAAACCTGCACCAAGCTGGCAAAGAAACATTTGGATTGCAGCACACTCTCGGGAAAGAAGTAAAACCCGGGTGCAACAGCACCACCAACCAGCAGGAGCATGTAATTACAGCATGACATGTTTACATGGACAGTTCCCATTATAGGTGTAGGAATTTTTAATGGGATATGTTGCTAGGATGGGCCAGATTCCTGTGAAGTTAAAAGGTGAAGAGTTTCCTAGATTATAAACTGCGCTCTAAGAGGTTCGCATGGAGTTTGTATAAAACAATGTGATTGGTATCTACCCAGAGGAAGCTGGCTATCATGGATAATGATTCATTGCTGTGTCATCTGATCACTGCAGCATTAATAACGTGTTAAAAATATGACATTGTCTCTTTTAAAAAAAGCATTTAAAATGTGACTTTATCACAGGTCATGGTGCCTCAGTGGTTAGCACTGCTGCCTCACAGCACCAGGGACCCGGGTTCGATTCCACCCTCAGGTGACTGTGTGGAGTTTGCACATTCTCCCCATGTCTGCGTGGGTTTCCTCTGGGTGCTCCAGTTTCCTCCCACAGTCCAAAGATGTGCAGGCTAGGGTGGGTTGGCCATGCTAGATTGCCTCGTCGTGCCCAGGATGTGCAGGCTGGGTGAGTTAGCAACAGGAAATGCCGGGTTAGGGGAGTGGGTCTGGGTGGAATGCTATTTGGAGGGTCGGTGCAGATTTGATGGGCTGAATGGCATCTTTACACACTGTAGGCGTTCTTATGATTATTGTTGGATATTGGTTCCATATTGAGTCAGTGTGAGCCCATACTTCTTTCTCAGAGTATGTTGACAGGCCTCATGTACCATCGGCCCGAGGAACCCCTGGAGTATCTGGAGAGCTGCCTGAAGAAAGTCCGAGAGATTGGGGGCTTGGAGAAAGTTCGGTGGGACATGTTCATCGTTCAGGAGAAGTGGGCACTGCCAGCTGTCGGTGGGAGCCAGGGGAAGAGAACAATTTATCGAAGTGGTAATGAGCTGCCCTCAAATCTTTACACATGTTACATCATCTACATTAATGCAGTTTACAAAGCTCTCTGCCTATTCTCAAATGTTATTCAGTCAGGTAGCCTGCAGGTTTCTCCATAGGACAGCCTTGGACCTTAGTGAGAGGGGTTTGATAGATATTCTGCATTGCTCTAGCCTGTGATGCTGAGGAGAATTTCCTGATTGTGAGAAAGCTGGTTTCACCTCACCACCAGCATTTGACCCAACTCAATAAAAATGCCCAGCTAAGGTGCTCCCCTGGAAATGCAGAAAGAACACCTCATGGATGGTGTCGGGGAAGGTCACGAAGTATGGACTAGGGAAGTTCCCAGTTTCCATCTGGAGTCCAGGCCATGTTAGTGTCACAGTGACAGGAAGTAAAGGAGAAGAGAGTTACAATTTGTACCTTACTTAACCCCCTCTCACTACACACCCATCGCAACCTCTTAAATAGAGGGGGAGACATGACGCTATCTGAACATATGGTTCAGGAAGAACAGCAAATCCAATTTATTGCAAGAATTAGATTTATATGGAGGCAAATTGCACAAAGAAATTTACAAAAAAATACCACACTTAACTTAGAAATTTGAAATATCGTGGTGTTTCAATTCTTTTTCTCAAAGAGTGAATCTACTCCTGCTGGGCTCTGTGCAAGACGAGCCTATGACTACTGTATACAGTTTTGGTCGCTCTGCTATAGGAAGGATATTATTAAGATTTCCCAACATGTTGCTGGGAATGGAGGGTTTGAGTTGTGAAAATAGGCTGAATAGGTTGGGACTTTTTTTACTGGACCATGGGAGGTTGAGGGGTGACCTTATAGAGGTTTGTAAAATCATGAGTGACATAGATAAGGTGAATAGCAAGGGTCTTTTCCCTAGGGTGGGGGAGTTCAAAACTAGGGGGCATATTTTTAAGGTGAGAGGGGAAAGATTTTAAAAGGACATGAGGGGCAACTTTTTTACACAGAGAGTGGTTCGTGTGTGGAATGAACTGCCAGAGGAAGTGATGGATGCAGGTACAGCTACAACATTTAGAAGACATTTGGATAAGTTCATGAATGGAAAAGGTTTGGAGGTATATGGGCCAAGTTGGGAGGTGTGACCAGTTTAGTTTGGGAACATGGTCGGCATGGACTGGTTGGACCAAGGGGTCTGTTTCCATGCTGTATGACTCTGTGACTGTTGGATTGAGAAACAGTTGGCCTCAGTTGTGGTGCTCCAATGGTTGAAAAGCCAGCTGAGGAATATGTAAAACACAATCTTATGAAATGAGATTGCTTACAACTGAGAATGATCCAAACACTATGAAAGGTATTTAAAAAATGAACAGCATGTTATTTAGAATTTGCAAGTTATGTGCAGTATTTCTGTCAGTTATTTACCTATTTTGCTCTAATATAAATCTGTTTTTCTTAAAATGAATCAGATTTGCTGTTCTGCCTGAACAGGGGATCATTTGAAATCTGGTGCTAAGGTTTCATGAAAGGGATCTAGTTAGATCTCAGGTACAGCTGTCATAGTCCCACTCACAGCATGTGTTATATTGCAAAGCTTGTGTTGTAAATGCAGAGAGGCATTTGGAAACAGTGACCTTCCATGAACACAGAGAAGAGCATTAGGAAGAGATTCTGAATCATTACAATAGATGAGGACAGAGTGGTAACATTACAACACATTATCTTGGTTGCATTATTAAAGTGAAGCTGAGCTAAGTAATGCTGTATTCTGTGCTCTATGACTCTATAACATTGAAAACAAAGGCTTGGGATTTAAGTGATTCTGTGGTTTTAAATTGCAACTTAGTGATGGCATGTGGGAGTAGAACACATTGTAAATCGATGCAAAGCAGTTCATTTACTGCTAGAGTACAGAGCAGCACAGTAATGGTTGGCACAGAACTGCTGCTTTGATTTGAATGGGGACCCTGGCGTTTGAAACCTGAAAGCCAGGGGATCGAAGCGGCTTTTGATAGTTTCTCAGTGTTTTACTGTTTGATCTCCCTGTGGTTGTTCCCCACCTGCCCTCAGCTTTCTCAGAGAGCCACAGCATCAGTCACTATCGATATGATCGCCTTCCTCCAATTCACCAGTTCTCCATTGAGAGTGACACCGACCTCTCAGAGACAGATGAGCTAATCAAGGAATACATGGTGTTTGACCCTTCGAAACCCCGGCCGAGGATCATCCTGGTTATCGGTAAGGACACCGGGACGTTTATCGGTAAGGTAACCACGGGGGTTATTGGTAAGGTCACTGGGAGGGGGGTCACCAGGGGGGTTTATCGGTAAGGTCACCGGGGGGGTTATCAGTAAGGTCACTGGGAGGGGGGTCACCGGGGGGTTTATCAGTAAGGTGACCGAAAGGGGGTCACCGGGGAGGTTTATCGGTAAGGTCACCAGAGGGTTATTGGTAAGGTCACCAGGGGGTTATCGGCAAGGTCAACGGGGGTTATCAGTGAGGTCACTGTGGGGTCATGAGTAAGGTCACTGAAGGTGGGGGGAAGGTGCTAACTATCATCATCCTTCACCTCCATTCCCTCCTCAGGTTAGCCATCCAGGGCAGGTCAGCTGACTGAGCCCACCAATCCCATTCTGGGCTGATATCCAGGGAAAGCCCCCAACAGGGTGAATGTTCCTGATCCTGGGTAACAGCACCTCCTTCAAGTCAGAGGTTCATGTGGGATTCCAAGGCTTGGGCTTTGTCACTGAGATGGAGAGAGCAGGGCCGAGGGGTTGCTGCCTTGTTGGAGATGGGGTTTGAACCTCAGCTGCCTCTGTCCCTTCAACTGGATAGAGAAGATCCCAGGGCCACAGTTTTGAGGAAGAACAGGGCATTTCTCCCTGGTCTTCTGGCTAAAATATATCCCTTAATCAGTGTCACTGATTGGCCAGAATCACATCATTGCCTGTTGGATCTTGCTGTGCTCAAATTGTCTGCTGTGACAGTGACCGCACTTCGATAAAACATCATCGGCTCTTTATCCCTGTCATACCCCTCAACCTATCCAAATCAGGACAGCTTGGGATCTCAGAACTAGGTCATTCCTTGTCATCTTATTCCAAGTGATCCTGCTGCTCTGATTGGATTGATGTTCCCTGATGACAATTTCTAGAGGCTTCAGGAAAACTCCTGGCATTTCCCCCTGTTGTTAGTCACTGAGAGAAGGAGCGTGTTCAGTCCAATAACACATGCTTGAACATTACACAGGAACTGTGTCTGCCTGAGGACAGTTGAAATTGATCAGAACTCTCCAGAATGGGGAGTACAGACTGCACCATAATTCCCACTGCAGTGTGTAGGTGAAAGCTGACTGGGACTTAGCAAGAACAGGCTCGACAGGCTGAATGTCCTCCTCCAGTGCTGTAACCATTCACCCCTGTGACTCCATGATTCATTCCCCAGTTGTGATGTTAATACTTGTCAATGATGATGAAGCTACACTAGGTGTGAAGGGATAATTACAGATATAAACAATTCTGTAAGCAGTGGGAATGCTCTCCCACATTTTGTGTATGCACAGACTGACAAACTGAAACAAGCATTTTTTGTTTGGTTGAATATATTTTAACGAAGCCTTAGGTCTGGATGGAGAGAGATATTGGCACAGTTGCTCTTTCCAGTGACCCTGGGGGAAACCCACGTCTGGATGGACCATGACTGCATCATTGAATCTCCACCCACTGTCCAATCCACCAGTAATGACAAGTTTATCACTGGCTGGGTGTGCACTTACTGCCCTAGGAGAAGCTGGTGGTGAGGAACACCCAATGCACTCCTCCTGCTGTGGGCTGACCCACAATGCCCTTAGGGAGAGAATTCCAGGATTTTGACCCAGCGACACTGAAGAAACAGCGATATATTTCCAAATCAGGATGGTGTGCGGCATGGAGGGGAGCTTGCAGGGGGTGGCGTTCCCATGTATCTGCTGCCCCTTGTCCTTCTAGATGGAAGTGTTTGTGGGTTTGGAAGGTGCTGATTGAGGATCTTTGGTGAATTTCTGCACTGCATCTTGTAGATAGTACACACTGCTGCTACTGAGGGAATGGATGTTTGTGGGTTTAATGAATGGGGTGTTGATCAAGTGGGGTCTATTGTACTGGATGTTCACAATCTGTACAACATGGGGAGTTCATTGGATTTAGTGGGGGGTGAGGATATGTCAAGAACCCAGTATTTTCTGACGGACAGATTGATCTCTGTGTAGTCCTGCCTGTGATATCAATGATTCCTCCTTTCCTCCCTCCCTCCCTCTGTTTCATTCCCTCCATCTGAAGGAGGGCCAGCTAGCGGCAAGGGAACCCAGAGCATGAAAGTGGCAGAGCGTTATGGGTTTGTCTACATCTCTGTGGGGGAGCTGCTGCGGGACAAGATGCTTCATAACGCGAGCAACAACCGGAAATGGGGCTTGATCGCGAAAATCATCACAAATGGAGAGCTAGCTCCTCAGGTAATGGAGAGGCGGAGAGCTCATGTTCTCCCACTGGAAACAGGGTGGGAGTGGGGCGGGTGGGGGAGAGGGGCAGGGCTGTGAGGCGTGGGCTTGGTGTGGTTTCTGAACCTCCATCTGGTTCCCTCCTGTCCTTTAGGGAAGGAAATCTGTCACCATTACCCCATCTGGCCTCCATGTGACTCCAGACCCACAGCAATGTGACTGCCCTCTGAAATGGCCAAGAGAGGCACCAAGGGTAATTAGGGACTGCCAGTCTCGCCCAGTGACACCCAGATCCCATGAAAGAGGGTTTGTGAGAATCTGAAGCTGTGTTGGTGTGAGCAGCACATGAAGAGGTTAACCCTGAGTCTGTCAGTCCATGTTCTACAGGGACTGGGGGCTCATCAGACACATAGTCTCCACCAGCCCCAAATATCAGGATAATACTCACCGGTACTTCAGAGAGCTCAGGTTCTGCAGGAGAAATCCTTCCAGATTTGTCACAGTCAGTACTGTTTGTTTTGGTTCCCTGGCAGGAGACTACAATAACGGAGATAAAGCAGAAACTGATGCAGCAGCCGGATGCCCCGGGATTTGTGATCGATGGATTCCCCCGTGAGGTCTCCCAGGCTATCTGCTTCGATGATCAGGTGATCACATTACCAGTCAGTCAGATCAAAGTCCATACTGACAATCCCAAACCCGGTCCCCAACATTCCCAAACCCAGTCCCCAACAATCCCAAACCCCGTCCCCGACATGCCCAATCCATGTCCCCCACAATCCAAAATCCATTCCCTAACATTCCCAAACCCCGTCCCCAACAATCCCAACCCCGTTCCCGACAATCCCAAACCCATTCCCAGACAATCCCAAACCCCATCCCCGACAATCCCAAACCCGGTCCCCAACAATCCCAAACCCGGTCCCCGACAATCTCAAACCCCGTCCCCGACATTCCCGAACATGTCCCCCACAATCCAAAATCCATTCCCTAACATTCCCAAACACATTCCCCGACAATTCCAAACCCGGTCCCCAACAATCCCAAACCTGGTCACTGACAATCCGAAACCGTGACCCCGAGATTCCCGAACCATGTACCCCACAATCCAAAATCCATTCCCTAACATTCCCAAACCCCGTCCCCAACAATCCCAAACCCAGTTCCCGACAATCCCAAACCCGGGCCCCGACATTCCCAAACCCCATCCCCAACAATCCCAAACCCGGTCCCCAACAATACCAAACCCCGTCCCTGACAATCTCAAACCCCGTCCCCGACATTCCAGAACATGTCCCCCACAATCCAAAATCCATTCCCTAACATTCCCAAACACATTCCCTGACAATTCCAAACCCGGTCCCCAACAATCCCAAACCTCGTCACCGACAATCCCAAACCCCGTCCCCGAGATTCCCGAACCATGTACCCCACAATCCAAAATCCATTCCCTAACATTCCCAAACCCCATCCCCAACAATCCCAAACCCTGTCCCCAACATTCCCGAACCATGTCCCCAACAATCCCAAACCCCGTCCCAGACAATCGACGACTGTTACAATGTAGTCATTGTGTGATGTGGTTAAGGGACAACTAATAGGCACACAGCAAGATCCCACAAACAGCGCTCCAATTAGATTTAAAATCACCAATTGTCGTATGGTGTTGCTTGACCGAGTCAGCTTCATCAAATTCATCAATAACATCTCAGGAGCTTTAACAGCATCTGGGAGGCACAGAGAACCTCTGCTTAATATTTCACAAAAAAACACAGCACACTAAACAGTGCCGCACTCCCTCAGCACTGACCCTC